CCAACTCCTGAGCCACGATCGCACCTTAAAATACAGATATTTGGTTAAAATATCACTAATGCTGGAAAAAGGCTATCACCAAGAAGATCCTCCTACCCTGGACCAGTGGACACAGATTGTAGAGGAAATCTACAGAGGTGACACACCAAAGGAAGCTCAGCACAAAGAAAAAAGGACTAAATGGACGCTTTATAAACCAGAACAGCAACAAAAAATTCAGAACAACCGGAAAGGAAAATTTACCAAAAAAACTGAAGTGACAAAAAAGGCTCCTAAATCAAACTTGGCAAAGACTTTTCACTTGCTTGTTTAGGCAATTTTACTGGCAGATGGTCACAGAATAAATCTATGACAAATGCCAACGATAACACAGTAACAGACAAAACGATATTTTTGCACCAACAAGGTGATCCCCAAAGTTTCCCAAAGTATCTCAGTTGGAGTGTGTCCTAAAGAAAAGATCTGAGGAGATAACTGAACCCTGTGATCGACGAATAAAACAGTAAAATAAAAAGAATAAAAAGAATTGAAATTCTAATTCGAATGTTTTCACTCGGCTTGAATCTGTTATGAGAACTTTTTAGCTGTTGTGTGTTTGAGGGCGACTTTGCTTCCACAGAGCAATGAGAACAGTCAGGGGTTAAAGTGGGAGCCTGAGATCGGTGCAGTGATGTGTAAGGTGAGCTCCAGGACAGGCTGTGCAGGGTGTGACCAGCTGACCAAAACTGAATCCAACAAGATAGCAGCAGACGTTTCACAAGCTGTCCTGTGCAGCATGCTGTTTGTACCATCTTCATCCACTGGGGATAGCCCACTACCATCCTTATACTGCATACAGTTGTTACAAAGGTTGAATTAAGTGGGTTAATCTAAGCATTATCATCTTAAATGCTAAGTAACCTACTGCGTAACATAACTCTGACCATAAGGAACAGCCTAACAGTGCTTTACTAGGAATTCACCTCAGCACAAAACTACGCAGTACTTTGAAGCAACAAATTGTAGGACGTCTCACAATATGAAAACACACCATATACAGATTCAATTTGTGATGAAACATTATGACATTAATGAAATCTTTAAATATGCAGTTCTTCCTTTCAAATACAACCTCTCATCTTCCTCTCTTAGCGTTCTCTGACTGCAGATCTCTGCACGCATTTCTCCTCCTGAGAAACCCAGCAGCTGGACCTTTAGCGAGCATCACCCTGTGCAGCAGATTGCACACAGTTTGTGTGTTTGTTGTTGTTTGTTCTATGATTGCTCCTCTTCTGTAGCAGCAGATGCAGAAGTAATAACTTGCAGACACCTGCACACTTTGGCTGATGTTGTCTCTACATAGCACAGCTATACTGTGACAAAACGATCTGGCTTATTTTATCCATTTTTTCCATTTTGTGTTCCCAGTTTTGTGCGTGTGTCTTTACTGTGTGTTAACCTTTTGCTGTGGCTGTCTCTCCTTCAGGATGAGCCATCCTCT